ACTCTGAATCCAGCGATCCGAGTTCAAATCTCGGTGGGACCTCTCCCTTTTCTTCATTTCATTTCTGTGCTCATGCAAGATTTGAGTTTAGCTGCTACTCCCAGGCGTTCTGCGGGTTCCCAAAAACTAGAAAGTAAGTACTGTGTTCTCTTCAGTGAGCTGGGGTCTCTCTGCGGAGGTTAGCTGGAAGAACACAGACACCACATCATGGTTTGCTCCAGTCTGTGTTTCGGTACAGGTTGCAACTGGTCCCGCGGCTGGATTTTGGTTTACTGATAGTTGTCGGGTTTTCCACAGCAGCATACTCGGCTCCACCTCACGCACGTACTCAGAGGAGGTTCGAGCGTGGGCTGGCTTTTCCTCTTGTGGCTTCGGGGCTAGGAGGGTGAAGTTGCTTGACAGTGCGCTGGCAGAAACTCCTGTTGTACGGGCTGGTCTGCAGAACCTCGGATGGATAACGGGAAACTCATGACGATAGTTCAACTACTGCAGAAACGGGATGAAATTTCAAAGCAAGAACTAGAACCGAAAGAATGCAGGCAGCCTTGCTCCAGAAGACAGGTTCAGAATCACTGGGAGAGAATTGCAAATTGCAAAAAATCAAAAGAAATATGAATCGTTTGAAAAGACTGATGTATAACCAAATCGTAAGTATAAAACTGTCCAAAATCCCCTCATGGTCCACCTGCCTACTCAATAGCATCTCAACGACTGCTCTCCCCACATTTTCATTTCAAACAACATTCTTTCTGGACCTGTGTTCCCAATAAGGGTTCCTCTCTCCTGCACCACATCCATACCGTACCCCCCCCCCACCTCGGTGGCCATCCCAAAAAAAAAAAAAAAAAAAAAAAAAAACCCACATAAAGAGCAACTGTATTCCCACAACCTAGAATTTACTATGGACACGTTTTCATCCAATCTAGTTTCAAACCACCATGATTATTGACTCCGATCCTCAGTTTGGCTAGGTTATTAGGACTAGGTTATTATATAGGACTGCTGAAAGGTATCAGGTTGTCTATCAGTGGGACCATTTCCAGAAAACATTGTGTCTTAGGTCCCAAATAAAATATAACTATCTGGTATCAGACAGAAATCGCACTTATGAAATGAGTTTGGTGTATTAGGAAACCAACCATTCTTTTTTTTTTTAACTTTATTTCATGTGCATTGGTATAACGATGTCAGATTCTCTTGAACTGGAGCTACAGACAGCTGCGAGCTGCCATGTGGGTGCTGGGAATTGAACCCTGGTCCTCTGGAGAAGCCTTCAGTTCTCTGAACCACTGAGCCATCTCACCAGTCCCCGAAACCAACCATTCTTATTGTTTTTTTTTGTTTTGTTTTGTTCATTGATTTATTTTACAGAGACAGATAGTTTTCTAATATCACAAATCACACAATGGTTTTCCTTGCTGTTTTTATATTTTAAATTTAAAATATGTTGTTCTAGCAGAGTAAATCAGACAACTATCATTGATAGAGATGAATTTTATCATACGCATCCTCTCTTCAACTATCATGACCAGATTTCCACAATCATCATGTGTTATGCTTTGTATTCTGCAAAGACAGATTCTTCAGATTTGACAGGAAATAGAAACGTCTGGGTGAAATTTTCCTTGAAATGTTTAATAGATCACTTTTAGTGTACAGAAGACAGCTTTGCACAGAAATACATCTCTAGGTCAATTGTGTTCCAGGAAGAGGCAACTCCTTTCGCAGACTCACCTGGGAATGGGCAGGAATAGCCCCAGATGGTGTCTCAATTGTCTAAATTTTTAACACTTCCCAGGACCAAGTTTACAAAACACACATCCTTGACTAGGAACCAGACCTGAGTCACAGTGGTGAAAATGCCAAATCCTGGCCTCTAAACCAGGAACAGACCTTTTTGTTTTGTTTTTTAAGGTAGAGTTTCTCTGTAGCTTTGGACCCTGTCCTGGAACTACTCTGTAGACCAGGCTGGCCTTGAACTCACAGAGATCCCCTGCCTCTGCCTCCCAAGTGCTGGGACTAAAGGCGTGTGCCACCACCACCCACACAGACACTTTAATAAAGGCTGTTCAAGGACTCTTCTAGGTGATCAAGTCCTCCCTTTGCTACTCACCTTCCTGAAATGACTTGACCTGTGATGGGAACTTGTTGGTGTTCTCACCCATTAGAGTTACTAGTATATGACCACCACAAAATTGTTAAAGTCTGTGTAACTTTATTCACTGTAATATTCCTACTTGCAGTAGAAGTTTCCAAAGACAAACACTTGAACCATCTCTCTCTCTCTCTCTCTCTCTCTCTCTCTCTCTCTCTCTCCCTGAAAATGGGCTTGCAGAATTCAGTTGATTTTAGTTTCTCTGCATTTCAAGTGATAGCATTTGGAGGCTGGCAAATCTGTGAGACTGAGGCCAGCCTGGTCTACAAAGTGAGTTCTAGCACAGAGAAATCCTGTTCCAGAAAACCAAAAGGAAAGAAGGAAAGAAAGAAAGAAGAAAGAAAGAAGGGAGGAAGGAAGAAAGGAAGGAAAGTCTGTGAAAGAGCATTAATGAACGCTAGAGCAGTGTAAGAGACCTAAACACCAGTAACTGGGGATCTTAAATGGATCAAAGGAGAAGATAAAAATTTAAGAAACAGTGATTGAAAAATTTCCAATTGTAATGAGAATTATTGATTCACCAACCTAAGAATTTGAACAACCCTACTCACTAGACACTCAAGGAAATCACACCTGAGCACATAGAATTAAATGGTTAAAACTTATTGGTAAAGAAAAAAAAAACTCAAAATGAGTCAGAGGGATAAACGGTGGTACATACACGAAACACAAAGACCGGTGGTTCACCTTTAAAGGACTGGAGAGGGACGTCAAGGGCCACCTCTGCAAACGCCAGAAAAGTCAGCCCTGCTGCTCTATACACTAGAACCGAGTCTTCCTGCTAGCAGGAGCCGCTACTCGCTGTGACTCTGCATGCATGAGGAACATTGTATAAAATGGTGAGCATAACATCTCTAGTCTTGCTATTTCCGTCCCCTTAAAAAACGTCGGCAACTTTAAACAAAAGTAATAAAGATGGCTTGCAGCATCTTTAAAGAGAAAAATAGACAATGCAATAGCACTTGAAGGCGGACTAAGATAAGTTCAAGATGACTAAATCCAATTGAGTCATTAAGGACACAAGAAAAACAGAGAAAGAAGCCGAGCAGTGGTGGTGCATGCCTGTAATCCCAGCACTTGGGTGGGAGAGGCAAGTGGATCTCTGAGTTTGAGGCCAGCCTGGTCTACAGAGTGAGTTCCAGGACAGCCTGGTCTACCTACAGACAAGCTCCAAAGCTACACAGAGAAACCCTGTCTCGGCAAAGAAAAAAAGAGTTGCAGCTAATAAGGCAACAGAAGAGAGAATTGCTTGTTTGTTTGTCTTAATCTAACCACTAGCATTGCTCTCCAGGACTGTGCCTTACCAAGGCATTTGCACAAGCGACTGCAGATGTGTGTGCAAGAATGGCTATTATCATTATTTATGACAACGAAACACGAGATCAAATGTCAAAGGTCCATGGAAGAGATATTAGTTGCAAAACAATAGGAAGGAAATCTTATAGTTTTGGTTCTGCCTGCCCACAGAACTTAGTTTTTAAGGACCCGAAAGGCGTTTGTACTTGGAAAATAGGGTGGTATTCAGAAAGAAGGACAGCTTTAGGGAGAGAAGTACTCTCTCTTCCCAGAAGTACTCAAGACTTTCCTCCTCTCAATAGTGAGACCCCAGGTAAACTCGAATCACCAACCTTTCTGTTATGAGCCAAACTCACTGGCCAATTGCGACATGGAACACTGGGTTCTACTGTTTAAGACGCAAGTCACCTGCCTCTGGCTAGGTTTTGCTTTTTCTCCCTGCACATGCCCCGCTGCTCTTGCTAGGATTTCGGCAGAAGGAGGTAAAGTATTCTCTCTCTCTCTCTCTCTCTCTCTCTCTCTCTCTCTCTCTCTCACTGCATGCATGGATTGAAAGAAAACCAAAAGATACCAAGTTAGTCCCAGTGCGCCCAAGAGAGGGTATGGCACTACCAGGTCTCAGATCAGAACCGATGTGGCTGTAAGCACACAGCTAAAACATCAGCGTAGCATCCTACACACGAATTCCCTTATTTTTGATGGCTTCACTTTGGAGCCTGTCTTGAAACTAGCTCTTGTAGACCAGGCTGGCCTCGAACTCACAGAGATCCGCCTGCCTCCGCCTCCCGAGTGCTGGGATTAAAGGTGTGTGCCACTACCACCAGGCTTAATTTGTACTTTAAGAAATCTGCTTTACTATGGTATAGCTGCAGAGTCTGAATTTTCTCTGGTGTCTCCCTTTTCTTCTTCTCATCCGAACTCATTTCTCTGAACCTGGTCGGTGCCTCTGACCTACTTTCCCCCATCTTTTCACGACTCCCCTTTAGCCCTGTTGCCTTTTTCCAGCTCCCGCCACACCACTGGCCTCAGCCGAATAATCTTCCGACTATGAAAAAATGAGGAGAGACATGGGAGAAAGCTGAACTGCCCAGTGTAGGTTTTGTTTGTCTTCTTCTGGTTATCTTTGAACTCACCGACACTGCTTCCCGAGTGTTAGAACTAAGGGAATGAACCAGTATGCCCAGACTAGCATGCGCCTTGTCTTCTGGTACCGGCAGCCAGAGCCCGCAGGATGGAGACCCCCCACACCGGGTCAGGGCCTCAGTTTGGTGCACTGGGCCATGGGCCAGTCTACAGACCTTTGAATTGACACTTGGGACTAAACTCACTCGCACAACACACAACAGTTTTTCAGAACAGAACTGGGGAGATCACGGCGCGCCCAGATTTTTCCAGGCAGTGCTTTGCTGCACCCTACTGGAGCGACCTGACCTGACCTGACAGAAGCCTGCAGAGCAGCGTCACTCCCCGCTCCCCTCAACTCCCAAGTCAGCCCCACAGACCTGACAATACCTGACCAAGTTGGTTTGGGGTGGGGGGAGCACAGCCAGAGTGGATCTTAAAAGTGTGTTGTTGCAGTCCGCCAATACCGTAAATTATGCAGCCGAAATTCCCGTATGTGGTGAAGCCGCATGGATCAGTGCCTCCGGAGTATAGAGGTGTGGGTTTCGCCGAGGAGAACAACCTCGTCGATTATGGTATTTCCCCAGCCAGGTAAGTAGGAGAGCTCTTGGGGACACTTTTATAGCCTCGTCTATCGTCATGTTCCCTGAAGATCACGACCCTCCCTCCAACCAGAATGTCATTACAGCTTCAGGTCGCTCTGTGCAGGAGACTGCCATGACATTCACGTGTCGTCGCACTGTCCAGGCAAGCAGACCACGTTTTAGCTGAGGCTCAGGACGCTAAACTCCTGCACCATTTCATCTGCATACCCCACCTGTGACCAATATCGGCGTCCTTCTTCTTCCCAGGCCCAATCTTAGCCTCCCAGCAGTACCGAAATCCACTGGAGACCCGAACTTTCCACAGGGTCACGCCAGTGGGTTTTCTGGAGAACAGTGGATTTTCAGCTCAGGTTATCATAATAAAATACCAAAGCCTACACTTTAAACAACTGCATTGGCTTCTTTTACACTAGCTGTGGTTCCTATTCCCAGTAAGGAAGACCACCCGAGGAAGAGAGTGATATTTAGGGACACTGAAGGCGCCACAAGACATTCAGTACTTAGAAGCAGCAGAAGAGAGAGCCTAGCAGGCTTTTCCCTACTGTGGTGGGCCATTTTTTGTATATATTGTTCACTATAAGAAAGGGTTGCAATTTCAGTTAAAAACAACCACTTGTTTCCGCCCGGTTTCGAACCGGGGACCTTTCGCGTGTGAGGCGAACGTGATAACCACTACACTACGGAAACCACACATAATAGCAGTCCTTAGAGACTTCCTGAAAATGGTGCACATGCTATCTCCAGTTTCTAACAGATGAAATCCAAAGGCATTTCAAATTTTTTTGTTTGTTTTTTCAAGGCAGGATTAGGCATTTTACGTTTTAACGGAAGCAGCCCGGCGCACACCAGCAGTCCCCCTCAGATAGGCAGACAGCAGCCTGTCTTCAAAGTCTGCCCACGCCGAAAGCGCAGGCCCTGGGGCCGCACACTGTGGGTCGAAATGCTGCGGCTCACCAGGGTTCACGTTCACGGACTGTAAATAGGTGTTATTCTCGGGTGGATTCGGAAGCTCTCAGAAGCTGTGGAGCCCGGGCACTTTGGGTGTGTCGCAGCTTCTGGGCACTTCGCTATCTCCCGCTCCTGGGAAGCTAGCGGCTACAGGGTGGCTTTATCTATTCACTCATTCACTCATTCATTCATTCATTCGTTTGTTTGTTTTTCATGGCGCCAGCAATCAATCAATGCTCTTGACTCTTGAACTAAGATCGATGCGTCCATTCCACCCAGAAGCTGTAGGACTCCTCCTCTGGCCCTACTCTCTCCCCTGACTCCACACTCTCTCCTCTCAAATCCGAATTTAGCTTTTAGTGCCTCTACCTAGCGACCCAGAGGGGGTCACTCGGGTTCCGGTTGCGGTCATTTAGTCGGTGCAACTCACCACTCAATCACCTTACAAGTTACGATATATATTTTAATGTCAAACATCAGGCCTGGTCAAGCCAGGCGTCTGCAGCCTGGATTGTACTGGTTTGAGGATCCTGCCTCCAGGTCACTGGGAGACTCTGGGATTCCTAAGGCTGACTTCAGAACTTATTTGGTCTTGAGGTTCTTTTTCGGACGACAGCTTTAATTTACTCTTTACAAAATTGGAAGCACCTTTTGTTTGATTGTTTTGATTTACTTTTTTGTTATTTTCCTGTTCAACTGGCTATGAATAAAATGAGAATTTTGGCCCAGTACAGTTCCCCTTACAGCAACTGCTGCCAGAAGAGGGAAAGAGAGGCCCAGGCAGAGCTGAGATTAATCATTCTGTCCATCTCGCTCCAGTCTCTCCATCCTGCTTTCCTTGGGAGAGGCGCGGCCTGTGTTCCTCTGTACCCAAAGAGACTTCCTGATAGCTTTAAATGGAGAAATCTGGAGGGACTTTTCTCTCTTACCCTTCATGGTTTGTCTCCCCACACCCGCTTCCACCTTGAGAGGTCTCATCTTCGGTCCCGGCTAGGTCCGTTGAGGTCCAACAAGACAGGTGGCAGATGCCCATTCTGCTACATAAGCCGGAAGGGAGGTGGGCCCGGAGATCTCAGACTGTCAGAGGCACCCACGCTCAACACCTGGCCCTTGATGTTCCGTAGACTTGGTGATGAGCTTGCGGGCTGGAACGGCAGCTGTGTGCTGTTCTGCTCCACAGAGGAGCTGCTGGGTGGACCTTTGTCCTTCCCTTTGCTGGTTCTAGGGAACAGAGCCAGAAAATCAAAGAAAACACCAATTCAACAGCTTCCAGGGTCAATCTAGACTCCAGTTGAAGCCTTTGCTCAAAGTTAGAGTTCACAAGCGGAGGGATTGTGGGGACAATGCTCCTAAGACAACAGCAGCAGCACCTTAGACCCTCACAGAAGCTCAAGGAGAATGAGCGCCCAGGGCTGCAAGAGCGCCAGGTGCATCGTGGAGAGAGGGAAGCTTGGGTCAGTTCAGGGCCCTGAAGCCAAACATTGATGCAGCTTTCTATCCTGGCTGTCTCAGTTCCTGCATCCTTCAGATTCCTTTAAGATGTGGGGGTTCCTAGATCTCCAAGGTCTGTCCTTTTCACCCTGGTTAACACCCCGGTCCCCATCCTTAGTGTCTCTTCCATACCGTGACCTTGTAGAGGCAGGCACATCTCCAGGCCAGTTGTGAGATGTAACCCAGACAAGACAACACCCTCTGCCACTTGTGGACACTCCCGGTATAATACTGTTCTTTAGTATTGCTGTGTGTCTCGTTGGTCTGACTTTGAGGTACTCCCTGAGTCTTAGCTAGGACCTATTCATTATTCTAGGCATTATTATTTAGGCTTATTGTTTATTCTTAGTTGTCAAGTAGTGAATAAAAACATCACAATGACAAGTGTCTTTGAAAAGAAGGACTGCCATGTTTACCTCATAACCTGCATGTTTACGCACATGCCTGGCACAGAAAACATTCCATATGTATTTAGATATATTTATTGAAAAACAAACATTAATTTAATGGACTTTCCCTAGAGATAGAAATAAAAGCCATCTCATAGCTGGGTGTGCTGGTGTTTCTCTTCTGTATCAGGGGTTCAAGTCCAGTCTCTGGGGTGGGGGATACAATCCTGGATAAATCCTGATTCTGCACTTCCAGACTACACAGCAGTTGGCAATTTACTCAAGCTGCTTATATGCTGGAATACTTATCAACGAAGCCTCAGTTACAGAACTAAACGGGTAGACGTTGTGATATGTGAATTTGCTTCAAGAATTTTATCATTCAATAAATGTGAATCTCTACCCCCATTCCCACCCATCTCTGAGGGGTGAGCGTCCTCACAGCCATGCAGAATGCTGACTAGGAACTGAAGTCCCTAGGAGCACACACCCTACACAAAGCTCCCTGCTAATTTACAGGAAGATATGAGGAGGCTCAGAATGAGTGGGGCTCTGAGTGGCAAGAAAACAATGAGATCAGTGAATGAAGGCAAATGAAGTTTGAATAGGGCAAAAAGATTAATTTTAAATTCCTGTACTTAAGATAAAGGGCATAGAGAATGACCCTTTGGAAGCCAGGGGATAAGTTTTATAATTTGAAACTTTTAAGAATCAGAAAGATAAGCTGGGCAGTGGTGGCGCACACCGTTAATCCCAGCACTCGGGAGGCAGAGGCAGGCGGATCACTGTCATTTTGATCGCTGTCTACAAGAGCCAGTTCCAGGACAGGTTTCAAAAGCTACAGAGAAACCCTGTCTTGAAAAACTAAAAGAAGAATAAAAATCAGAAAGAAAAAGTTTGAGATGCCAGCACTCAACTCCCACGTCTTCTCCTGCCTCTGCCTCCTTCAGCAAATCCTACTGGCCTGCGCCACCAGATAGGCCATACATAAAGGCTGAAAGAAACAGAGAACTCTGGGAACATTGAAGTCAAGTGTAAAATACTACCAAATACTGTGTTGCTAACATGGAAATGAAAATAGTATTATCATGGGGAAAAAAAACCCACAAACCAAACCAGGCACCCTGTTCTCCACGGAGACCTATGTTGATTCTCCATGTAGGCCTCTATACCAACCTGTTTTAGAATCTGTGTACCCTTCTGCTGATACCGCACAGTATTTATATGGAGAAATAAAGCTTATTTCTCTGTATTCAAGGTTTGCTCAGCCTGCTTTCTTACGACTACCCGCCGAGAGGTGGCACCACCCCACACCAATCATTAACCAAGACAACTCCAAAGGCTTCCCTACAGCCCAATCTAATGAACATATTTTCTCAAGTCTTCTTCAGATAACTCTAGTTCATGTCAAGTTGACATAAAATTAGCAAGCTAGCACATTTTCCATGTGGTCAACTGACCATTTCACTTGTCTTGCTGGTAAAGTTGTTGAAATATGCTTTGCAAGGAGTAAAACTCATAAACTATCATTTCTAAGCCCAATCAATGTCTTAATTTCCTTGACCGTTGGGCAACTTTAACAAAATCTTGAGCTCCTAGAATATTTCAATGTAAATACAGGGCCTTTATATGTAGGGTACGAGTAAAGAATAGGATTCTACATAAGAATTTTGGGCCTCAGCCCTTGTTTGAAAGTGCCTCACAGTGCACATAGAAACAGCTGTGTCTAATATGGAAGGAACACCAAACAAACTGTCATTTCCCACCAGAGATGCCAGGGGAGAGCGCGAACGCAGTCCCCCACTAACAAAAAATTATGCAGTCGAGTTTCCCGCATTTGGGGAAATCGCAGGGGTCAACACACCCCAAGTGCAATGGGTGAGCCTCGCCCTGGGAAAACCACCTGCCTGATCATGGTATCTCCCCTGCCAGGTAAGTATGCTTTCCTCCCTTGCAGCCCCCACTTAGCCCCACCAGCCCTGCGCTCTTAACACACGGTCACTTAGCCTTGCCTATTCCACGGTCTTCTCGGACGCGCACCCAATTCTTGCGCCAGGGTGCCACACGCGGACCCGCGCTTCCTTCCTTCCACGCTACTAGAGGTCCTAGAGATCACGCGCGTTTCCGCAGCCGGTGCGGACCCGGCAGCCCCTGCGCAACCTTCAT